AACTGGATGTCACTTCATTAGCCATAGGTAGCCAGACTATCGAAGAAGAGAGCTATTGGCTGTTGCCCTATGAAATTTAAATTTTTCTGTCCAATGGCTAGGACGTGGTCTACGTGTCGACTAATGGTTTGCCAACACGTTTGGCCCAGTTTTTTGTATTTTTTGAAGAGGTATTTGGTAATTTTTAGCTCTGTATTTTGCTCAAATAACGACCAAAAAACTTTTATTTGCTTAAACTTCTACACTATTATTTTGATTTGATACCGTATTATTTGCTTAAACTTCTACACTGTTATTTTGATTTGATACCGTATTATTTGCTTACTTCTACACTGTTATTTTGATTTGATACCGTATTTTTTCTTAAACTTCAACACAGTTATTTTGATTTGATACCGTATTTTTTGCTTAAACTTCTACACTGTTATTTTGATTTGATACCGTATTATTTGCTTAAACTTCTACACTGCTATTTTGATTTGATACCGTATTATTTGCTTAAACTTCTACACTGCTATTTTGATTTAATACCGTAATAGTCTGCTAGATAAACGACTTCTGTACCACTACAACCAGAAAGTGAAGAATAAGACGAAGTGGTTTTCTCTAATGCAGATCTTGTGTCTATCTTTTTTTATTAAACTTCCCAATGGAACATACATAGGGAAAAAAAGATGCTGAATGATCAGGTGATGAAGATTGGAGACTCCATTCATCCGCCCATTCGTGTTTGGACCGGAAGCTGGTCCATCAATCATGGTACGCTGCGCTAAACTGACATCTACTATATCTTCTAAGAAACGAGTACTAAACTGTGTGAACTTTTCCTGATATTTCATTTGCACGATGATGCACAGTGTCCTCATTGCACTTGAAAGCGTAACTGTGTTGTAGTTAACTTAAACCATGAGCGGAAGCGCCGTGATGTCAAAGTTACTATAAATGTGAAACGATATATCTCAGAAGTATCTGACAGGTATTAGTAAAATTTGATACACTGCCAGATTCAAGCTATAACTGATTTAATAAACTCCAGTTAAAACAGTTATTTTTCTAACCGGATAATTAGCTTGTTGGATGAGTTGTCATCGGCAGTGGTGAAGGCCGGCACTTTATATGAGTTTAAGAGAGCGATAGGTGATTTCCTGAAAAGTAAAGGGTGTATTTCAATTTTTACATTTATCGGGAATGGGTGTGTTGGGACAGCCTTAGAGGACCAGATGTTGTCCTTAATGTTCGGTCAAAGAGCGATGTGTGTGTTCTTAAAGGTCCCTTGTTGTTTCATCAACCATCTGTAGTTTCTTGGATAACAAGGGCTAAAACCCAAACTTAGAATAGTAAATGCTTATACTTATGTATATAACTATCTATTTTAAACGCAAAAATAAAGTATTTCCTTTTGTGAAATTATGGAAAAGGAAACGCGTTTCATTTTGTACGTAATGCCTGTTTATTTGAATGGGGTAGCAACATAAACTGTATTTGTTCATTCGATTTCGACGCGAGCGATAACTAATGGATACTTTAAACGGAGTTTTTATTCAGTAGTGATAACAAAGACAGAAATATGCAGATAAATCTTGCTATTGCCTTCATGCTGTCTTGTCTTTTAATCAAACTTCCACTTTAACCCTATTCTTTAAAGGCGACGAGTATTTTAGTAAAAGGGATGATATACTTCATTTGTCAAGGACCGGTCCGTTTGAAAACTTCTTTAAACATATTTTTAGACACACTTTTCTGATAAACCTAATGTAGCTTTATCTTCACCTTGGAGGCCCGTCCCACCAAACATGTTCACCCTTTCAGCCGTGGGGGCATTATAACGTGACGGTCAGTCACATTATTCTTTGATAAAATAGTAGCCTAAGAGTTGGCGCTGGTTAGTGATGACTAGCTGTCTTCCCTCTAGTCTTTCACTGCTAAGTTAGGGACGGCTAACGCAGATATAATTTACGAAATTAAAAAAGACAAACAAACAGAAATCTTCACCCTGGCCGAAAGTTTCTTTTCATAGACGATATGGCAATGTTTATAGTAAATATACATCGTTTGTTCATTGTTAAGCATAAAGCTACGCAATGGTTTATTGTTGTGTCCACCACGAGAATCGAAACCCGGTTGTTAGTGGTGTGAGTCTTGATACTTATTACTGAACCACTAGGAAGTTAGTAAAGATACAACAAAATAAATTCCAATCTTAATTCATGAGGTTTAGTAGGTTGAATTAAATATTCAGATGAACCGGAAATTTCAGAAATTCTCGAATCTTCTCTTGCTTTCTTCTTAGTGAACCGTATAAATAATCTATAAAAGAAATTAAAGAAAAAACAACAGATACCTTTCATATTTTATTTTGAGATTATGATAAAAGTCATTAATATTGCTGAGAGGAGAAGATAAGTAGATAAGAACTTCAGTTTTGTAAGCCTGAGAGGTATCTAGTAATTACCAGTCTAAGCAACACTTTTTTGTACGTATGTTGACCTATAAATTAGAAGTTTTTTTCTTTATTTGTGAAATTCCTGAAACCCTGACGTGAAGGAAGGCCAAGTTTGATGAAGAGTTTCTGTAACAAGATAAGAAACGACATGCATTCAGTCCCAATGGAGTAAATAGAGAAGGAAAAAGAAAGACTTAAATTACATACAATAAGGAAAGCATGTCGTGTCTTTGATTGTGCGCATGCGCTCTGGAAATAACGCAACACTCCAGGCTATTCAGCCTCGAAGATCGATTCGTTTAGTGAAGAACTTTCTAATAGCAATCGCAAAATTTGTTTATATTTTTGTTCACTCTGTAGAAAAGTAAGTTATTTCTCTTGATTTACAACTGTTCCTTCCATAATAACAGCACTTGCTTCTTATGTTTCCATATCTCGTTTGTATCATCAAGAAAAAAAAATACTTGTTCAACTTGATATTGGAAAAAAAAATTTTTTAAAGGTATTGTTACGTCTCTGATCGTTTATTAATTTTCCGTATAATTTCTTTCTGATGAAACTTAGCGATACAAGTCCTTTCCTAATTAAAACTAGTTTGTTATTTCTCGATACAACTTTATGATACACAGAATTTCCACAGTCACTTTAACTTTAACACACGCTATAATTCACAACAATTTACACACTTTACTTACGGCTTGACTCGATTATCTGTCTCTATATCTCCCTATCTGCAAGTTATCTATGCCGTCACTTCATTGCCGGCTTATATATACAAAAATAGAGGGCGCGTAGAGAAGACTAGAGTTGCCAGGAACAGACATGATCCTTCTAAAATCTCATGACGTGTTACTAGCGTCACGTGACTTCCGCTGTTGTAACAGTAATAAAAAATTTCTTTATTTGTGACTCGTCCTTAAAATCGTATATTTCATTGTTAAGAGTTGTAGTACTATTTAAGAATATTAGTTGTAACAATTCAAAGTATTTTTCATTATGGGTAATCGATAGATTTCTATGTTTCTACCAAGGTTTTCGTGTGAATCGTCTTAAGGCTTCACTGGCTTCAAGTTATTGAAATTACTCCAGTTTCGCTTGAATCATTGTTTTCTGACTATAGTAGTCTTCAGAAGCATCTTAATATTCTATTTTCAGGATTTAAAGATCACGATGTTGTAAAAAGAGATGAGAAGTAAAAAACTGATAATGATTTCCGATTGTATTATTTTCTAGGTTTGATTCTTGACATTATAAAAGTTTGGTTACAATTTAAAGTTTCAAAAAGTGTAACATGATTACAACTGAATGTTGCGTGTTACAAAATGTGTGGCGTAGTTACAGTAAAGTTTCGAAAAAGTGTAACTTGATTACTGTTTAAAATTTTGAAAAGCGTAACATGATTAAAGTTTCGAAAAAGTGTGATATGGTTAGAATTTAATGTGTCGAAAAAGTGTAACTTGGTTACAGTTTAAAATTTCAAAATATATATATATATATAACATGATTACATTAAATTTCGAAAAAATACGTAACATAGTTAGAATTTAATGTGTCGAAAAGGTGTAATAATTTGATTGCAGTTTAAAATTTCAAAATGTATAACAGTAAGTTTCGAACAAAAAGTGTAATATGGTTACAATTTAAAGTTTTGAAAGAAGTATAATTTGGTTCTATGTTCAAATGTAAAAGTGTTAAGTGGCTAGAATTTTTTTCTGAAGAAGTTGGTATGATTAATTTCATTCGTCAAAAGTTGTAGAGTTTTTTGTTTTTTTTGCAGCTGTCAAAAACAATATAACTGCGTTTTTATTAAAAATGGTTGTACTTAAAATATAAATCATTTTTTCAACCTTTTGATTGTGTTGTAAAAATTAAACTTGTAATGTTTGCACTCGAAGAATGATTGAGTTTTCAACTCAAACTACATTCTTACTCGGAAGAGTCTATATAATAATTATATAATTTTCAGTGAATTGTTGTGGCGACAAATCACTCTCCATCACCATTTTAATCACCTGAGAGTTATTTAGCTCCAAAGATGGCAGACAAATCTTAAAATATTAAATTCCGTTATCTGAACACATTTTGAGTCTACATCCTGGCTTGTTGTGGGTTCGAATACCGCTCAATATTTACTGTCTCTCTGTCTGTTGTTTTTAAGTATAGGGCATACTGAATCTCTTTAGTTCCTTTATCTGGACATACTAACCTGTTTTTTTTTTATCTTCAGTTAATGGTTGACCCATTTGTTTTATAAATAAGTGATTGTAAAAATACCAAGTACATAAAGTCAAATTTGTTGCTGAAGTTTTCATTCGTGTCTATCTTTAACTTAGTGAATTTTTCCAATGGAAATCTAACGGACGTAAAACACCGTACTAGATTGAGTTTGGAAATTGTAATATTGTTTGACGTCTTTCTGAAACGTTACTTTATTTTACTTAATGTCAGTTAGCCTGCTTGACAAAAGAATAAACATGATCAAGTAGTAATTATGAAAATGTGCATAATTAAGTATAATTGTGCAACAAAAATAATTACAATGATACTATTCTTCCAGGTGGACGCCCTGACTCTAGAACCGTCGAATGTGGCAAATTGTGTATCTAAGGGAAAGTCTGAGGTAAGTAAAGTGATAAATCAAACTTTTATTTGGTGTTTCCATATATGGTGATTGCTAGTATCATCCCATTTTATTCTCAGCGTTTATTATCGTTTACGATCCATAACTTCACTTTGAAGTATACCTTATGCTTTGTAACGCGTTAATTCATTATGCAACACAAAAAAGTGACCAGTTTGTAATGAGTAATGCAAACCATTTAGCTGTATGTAGTTGTGTTTGTTTGTTTTTTTCTATGTGACAATACTCAACAACTCCAGACCGCATGCTGAGACAAGTAGCTGAAAATTGAGTGTCTGGAGCGACAGTAATTGACTGTATACGTAATCTAAAATGTCTATTATGTTCAGGAAATAATATCTTCTAATCTGTAATTTCAAAGGAATTGCTGCTTATCAGGAGTAGATGAGTGTGCTTTGTTGCCACCTGAAAAAATATTAGAACATGAGGAGTGTGATTGTTGAAAATAGCATTTAACATAGGATGACGTCAGTGGATAAACCTATGCCGTTTTTTTTTCTTTTCTTCTATGTAATATAGAATGGATTATAGTTTCATCTTGATTATCCAATGAAGAAGTCAATCGTTTTTGTGCGGTATAGAGAATTGAGTAGGGGCTTAAGTAACGTATGGTATAGAGAATTGAATAGGGGCTTAAGAAACGTATGGTATAGAGAATTGAGTAGGGGCTTAAGTAACGTATGGTATAGAGAATTGAGTAAGGGCCTAAGTAACATATGGATTAGAGAATTCCTGCACAAACTTGCAAAAAAAAAAAAACAATGACGAGATATAAGGTGTTTTTCTGAATACTTATAATTATATGCGATATGACATTTATCAGGTTTATAGGTTATTGAACAATCAATAAACGATGAAGAATATAGAGGTAATTTGCTGTAGTTGTTGTTTGTTATTAAGCCCAAAGCTACATAAAGGTGCTATGCCCACCACGGGTATCGAAACCCGGTTTCTAGGCTACATAAAGGTGCTATGCCCACCTCGGGTATCGAAATCCGGTTTCTAGCAGTATATAATTTGATGTATAGAGTTACATCATTAACGTAGCTTATTTATTGAAATAAGAGTTAGTTGATTAGTTGAAGGGCGTATCTCATAATAAGATTTTATGTGCAACATTTTATCACTCGGCATTTTAACGTTGTAAATTTTCAACACGTAAATGCAAATGAATTGATTTACATACAAAATATTTCTACATAAAACAGCAACAGTGCTATAAATAATCATTTATTTCTCTCAAAATTTATTATATCAATAATAATTTTGTTTGTTTATCTTGTAATGCACATTCGTGTTCAGGTTCTTTATGTTTTAGCAACGACGCGACAACTCCGTAACTTCCATTTTAGTTATCGCATATAGCTAGCTATAAATATACATGAAGTCATTTACCCAAAGGCCATTGCGCACACCGCCATATTGTTTTCTAGCGAACTCTAGAATTAGCTAGAGTATAAGTATATGAAAACTTTAACATATTTTAACTTCATTACGCCGTTTTCGTAGCATTTGAGATTTTACTAAAGATGTTTTTTTTTTTGAAAGACATGGCGCCCCCAGTGGCACAGCGGTATGTCTGCGGACTTATAACGCTAGGAACCGGGTTTCGACACCCGTGGTGGGCAGAGCACAGGTAGCCTTTGTGTAGCTGTGTGCATTATTAAAAACAAACAAACAATTGAAAGACGTGGCACACGTCACACTGATTATAAGTGTAATTGACTCTTAAATTAACAAACACATTAAACACTAGGTCTAACGCAGCTACTACTTACATAACAAACACATTCCAAGTTAAATAAAAATGCATCTTTCATAGCGATAATTACAATAAATGAGAAAAACAGATACGAATGAGACATTTTATTCATGTTATAATGTAGCGTTCATGTTCACTTGGCGTCTACCAAGCAACATAAAATTTGTATATAAACATTTTGTTTAAACAACCTAAAGAAATAAATCGTATAAGCAAATACGGCGTAGTCTGCTATTCACGATTTAAACAGGCATTTATATTGCTAAAACAACAAAAGATTTAAAAATTATCTCGTGAAATTGTGATTCAACTAAATTAACCAGATCTATTTTCTTCTGTCATATGTGCGAGGTAATTTAAATACATTTCTGAAGATTACAACTTTTGATATTCTAGAATTGACCAGAAGTGGTGCTGTATATACGTGTTTATTATTCGTCAGCTGGTGTGTAGAGTTTTACATATTCGTTATCGTTCGGGCTGAGGTTTGGAAGATCCGTGTTTTAAGTCTCGATATATTGAACACTTTCAGCTGAGGGCACGCTATCAAAACGACAGATCGTCCTACTATTTCGGTTAACAGTAGCGATCTGATTGGTTACTGTCCCTCTAGTCAGCATCACTAAATTAAGGGCGGCAATTTTTAACCTTGGGGTCATCTCATGTGGCCATTTAGTCCTTCTGTCACATAAGGTGTTGTGTTGTTCAAGTTGAAATTATCAAACGACCACCACATCACCATAACGATTTATCTTTGCTTATGTCTTGCAGATAATATATTTTAAGTACTATGACATATTTGTTTAGATCTGGCTACTTGCTGTATTACTTTCCCTGATAGAAACCCAGTCCTATGTAGCTGTGTATATAAAATAAAACAAAATATAATGAATGACTATGTGTTGGGAAATTCCACTGGGCATCTATTTTGTTTTGAGTAAAACTTTTAAATTGTTAATAGTGCTACTTTTGCAAGAAAGGAGAAAAATTACTCTGTAGAAAATGCTTAGTTTTCTCATGACATCAAGAAATCACATAGGATAAAAAAATAAATAAAGCACAAAGCAGTAACTTATTGCGGGATGGTAGACTTTCTTTATTCAGGGGTGACATGGAGTAGGAAGTAGGAAGTGTGATTGATAGCGAGGTTAGACCCTAGGGAACGGAAGCGGTTGGGTAACTATGAGTGGGGATTCTGTGAGTGTAAGGATGATTTCCGGAATAGGAAAATCGAAAATGAAGCGCAAAAGGATGGTGTAAATTACTGAAATCTGAGAAACAAATAATTAGTAACAAAAAAAAATCTGGAGAAACAGATTTAAAAAAGAAACTTCGAACTCAAACTGGTATGCGCCCCCAGTGGCACAGCGGAATGTCTGCGGACTCACAACGCTAGAATCCGGGTTTGGATACCCGTGGTGGGCAGAGCACAGATAGCCCATTGTGTAGCTTTGTGCTTAATTACAAACAAATAAACAAACTGGTTGCAAAGTATATAAGATCAAGAACGTCATTAAAGATTAAAAAACATAGCTAATTAAAACAAATAAAAATAAATGGTAACCAAAATCATAAATGATAAAAAATTATAAAGTAAGAATTGCAACCAGTGAAATATAATATTAATTTAAAAAAAACAAATATGTGCTATGTAAAAATAAGTAGATAAACGAAAAACCAAACTGTTTTTTTTGTCTGAGAGAATTTATTAAAGGTCGAAGATCACGGATTCAGCATTAAGATTAATTCCTTAGGGATGGACGGCAATCAAAGCGATAACCCAATATACCTCCTTTTCTTGTCTGTTTTTTTTTTTTGTTTGTTTGTTCTAATTCTATTTCCAACAACTTAAAGAAGAATGTCATTGACAGAATGTTTGAAATGTTGGAAATCAGGAAAGCCTTTTTTTTTTGTACTGATAGAAAATTTACGATTTTTGAAACGGTTTCGAAGCGGTAATTGTTTTTGTCCAACATAATGATGGTTGCACGTTATAAATGGTATCAGATAACATTTCTCTTTAATCACTTTAAATTATTCTACTAGCTGTTCTTTATGGGCGTTATTTAATTGAAAACTAGAATACTCCAATAAACTCATTTCACTGATTATATTCTGTCGAAGATTCAACATTGATGATGTAATGTAATGGACAACTTTAGGGAGGTGATCTTACATTCCATTTAACTTGGTAAAATAAGAAGATTCAACATTGATGATGTAATGTAATGGACAACTTTAGGGAGGTGATCTTACATTCCATTTAACTTGGTAAAATAAGAAGATTCAACATTGATGATGTAATGTAATGGACAACTTTAGGGAGGTGATCTTACATTCCATTTAACTTGGTAAAATAAAGAAAATCGTATTATAGAATGTTTGTTTATGGGACGAGTGGTTGGGGGAATATCCTCATTTAAGGGTAACTTGAAGGGAATCCTGGTATTCTCACGCATGATTAGACACTACGAAATAAGGCTTAGAACTTCTTAATGCAGGTTTGCCAGGTGGTTTTGTCATTATTCATTGTTCCGTTGTCTTCGGATTCTCAGATAGTTTAACACTTTCTTGAAGTTGAATTGATAGCAATATTTTATTGAACGGATGGTGTCTTGTACGGTCGAACCTCCTACAAAGTCTAATGAAAGTGTAATTGATAAGGTAATCTTTACCGTGTGTCGGTAGCTTGTCTTTTCTGGAGGGGGTATCTGAGTTTATTGTTGCCGACGGATCGATTCCCAGGACAGGTTTAAGCCATCTGTGGCCCTTGCTTATATACAGCTTTATTAAGTGAGGGGCTCTATTGCTAAGTTATAGGTATGGCCTCGAGGTTAAAGGGTTACAAGAATCAATGCGTGCCGACTAACCATGATCAGACTGAGTAGACTCAAAATATCTGTCTTCTTTGGAACCACGTACAAAGCTTTAAGCTTCTCTGTTTCGGTATTTATAAACATAGATAAAGAGATGGGTGGATAGATGGAAAACCTAAATAGCATGCGCAAAATACAACCTAACAGATATTTATTTGATATAAAGAAAACTAACTCAAAACTTCAGTTACCAGCGACGTTTTTGCTTGATTATCATGTTGTTTGTTTGTTTTAAGTACACGAGGGCTATCTGCGCTAGCCGTCCCTAATTTAACAGTGTAAAACTAGAGGGAAGGTAGCTAGTCATCACCACCCACCGCCAACTCTTGGGCTACTCTTAT